AATTTAGCAACGGCATAATACTCATTCCAATTTAGTTCCCGTGTCACGATCATCCCCAAGAGTTCAAAGACTTTTATTCTGGTCTGAAATGGGAAAACATTATGGTCCATAAAGGTATCGGTAAAAGAGCAAAAAGTCACCTCCGGTGGGACTCGAACCCACAACCTTTGAATTAGAAGTCCAACGCGCTAATCCATTGCGCCACGGAGGTTATAATTGATTAGCTTCAATCCTGCATTAAGATATCCAATTTGAATTGTTTTGTAACTGAATGAGAAACCACATGTTAAGTGTGCACAGCTTCAAAATAAAAAAGATAAACGACTGTAGAGCCCTATTTTTTAATGCCAGCTTCTTATTGTGAATGCTACTTCGGCGGCCATCTTGGATTTTAAGGCATTATGGGCGTCTAGGCAGCAAATAAAGCTTGTAACGTTAATGACGTCGATTGATATTAACAGTTTGCCGCAAGTGAATACAACAAAGATGAATTAAGATGGCACCTCGATCACTCTTACCCATAAAACAAAGACTAACACACAAAACTCTATATTTTTCCGTCGTCGTTTTGCTTTGCCCCTTGGCAAAATGGTCGCCGTATCGTCCAAGTAGTCCATTATGTATTAGTGACGGAACAATCAGTGATTATCTTTTTCATTCAATTAATTATAACTTAAATTTATGAATCTACAACTTATCCGTTTCCGTAGTGTAACGGTTATCACGTGTGCCTAACACGCACAAGGTCCTGGGTTCGAAACCCAGCGGAAACAGTACATTTTGCATTTTGTTTAAGAAACAAATAACCAATACAGGCCACAGGAAACCCACAGCAACAGTGCTCAAAAATAATTGTATCATGCGTCTTAAAGAAGCTCAAGCGTTCAGATTCTATACGGCGCCATTTCTTTTGCGTCCGTAAAAAGGATTAGCGTTATAGGCTACCTGTAGAATATAAACACATGTCTTTATGTTTTACCTCATGGTTTTTTTAAAAACGCACGATTTTTTGAACATTGTTGCTGTGGACTCCTTGTGCGCAGACATCGGATTAAATTAACTATTAACAGCAGTCTTATCCATGACGACTATAAAGACGAGTACTAACATGAATAAATTATCACTTTGCTAAAGCAGTCACAGCGTGATCATCCATGGCTTGGTTTGCTGGTTGCTTGGTATAGCTGGTTTGCTTCCTAGTCCTGCTGGTGTACAGGGTCAAGATACGAATGTCTACTCACAAGGCGACCCCAGACGAAATATCCAGGACCAAGCAAAGGGGGGAATTTTTTTATTTTGTCTACATTTGGCTTTCTAAATGATCCTTGTTCACGCTTCGGTGTTGATTCACGTCCATTTCGGTTCCCCATGCACATGCTGACTCTCTCTGGTGATTTGTTCGCATTGGAAGTTGTATTTTGCTAGTTTTGGATAAATTAGGATCCTCATATGCACGTGTTGACTATTTCTATTGGTTTGTTGGCATGGGAAGTTTGCATTTGACTAGTTTTGGATACAAATTCTGTTCCCAATGCATGTGTTTGACTATTTGTACTTATTGACCGCATGGGAAGTTTGTATTTGACTAGTTTTCGATAAAAATTCTGTTCCCCATGCATGTGTTTGCTATTTCTCTACTTATTTGCTTGCATGGGAAATTGTATTTGACTAATCTTTGAAAAAAATGATGCTCCTCATGCACGTGTTTACTATTTCTACTTATCTGTTTGCATGGGAAGTTGTATTTGACTAATTTTACCTAACGATTCTGTCCCTCATGCATGTGTTTACTATTTCTATTTGTTCGCATGGGATGTTGGTTTTCACTAGTTTTGGATAAAATTTCTGTACCCCATGCACGTGTTTTTCTTATTTTTACTGTTTGTTCGCATGGGAGGTTTGCAGTTTACTATTTATTCGATCATTTTTCTGTTCCCCATGCGTATGTTTACCGTATGTTTACTATTCTTCGTTTATCTAGGCGTCCTATAACTCTAAGCCTAATTCTTCCCAGGGCCAGTCCATGTACTTCCATATTAACGTAGTAGCTTCCATTAACTTTGCTTGTTTACTTGAATCATTGATGTCAGTTTTTCATTTGATTCGCCCTCTCTTCCTCCCTTGCAGCGCTCTGGGGTGGCAGTCTTGAACAGGAGTCTAATTCATGCTCGGATTACTGAGGCTCAAGGCTATCATCCCCTTAGCCCCTTCCCTCGTGCCTTCGTTTTCATCGTAGCCTTCTTTAAAAACGCAGGCGCGTCGATTTTTCTTTCCCCGTCAGGAAAAACCTCCAGTTTTCGACCTGTTGATGTAAAGTTGGAAAAACTTGGTTGGGTTGACGTCTGTGGAAATCCTTGTAAAGGGACTCAGGGGATGGCAGCCTGTAATTCGCACATCGCTCCTCTAGGGCTGTGCGTTTTCGGTCATTTTGAGGTTTGGGTGCTTAGAGGAGTTTGCAGTTTGATATGGCATCGCCTTTTCGTGTGCCGCCAGACCTCCATTACTAATAGGAGTACGGGTAAGACCGGTGTAAATAGGATACTATGTCCTATAACATAAGAGAAAAGTGCTATAACTTTTATTTCAGAACCCTGGGTTGTTTGATTTTATACAACCTGATCGGGAGTCATTTTCAAGTGAAGAATAAAGTCAGATTGGTTATATTTTTACTGCTAGGGATAACAATAGCCTAATTACCTGGATTAGCGTAATTGGCGGCGTCGGTCTAATAAGTGCGCGTCGCTGTTTCGGTGTTATGGGCGGAGTTATTATTTCTGATAAGCCTATTTTATTCCGCTCAGATTGTCGAAACGTTAACGCCAGTCACATCAAACAGTCCTTCTCAGGATTACATCCATCCGGATGATCATAATACTTCGATAAACATTCATTCACCTGGGTCCAGACCTTTATATACAAAACATTAAAAAATAATGCTCCAAATTTGTAAAACTTTTAAAGAGGATACTTCTGTTGTAATGTTTGTAGCATAATTAAACAACTACTTCTATTCTTCGATTGAACGTTACGTCATCGCGGCCATGTTGGTGCCATTTAACAAAAGATTTCTCGTTAGAATCCATCGTTAACGGCACCACAATGGCCGCCATGTTTTTTTCCTTTTGACTCTCTCTTGGGAATGCTTGCAACTCATCAATTGTTAGTTTGCTATTATACATTTACTTTGGTGCAGTTCGAGAAATTTGTTAAAGAAACGTGTTAGGATGTATACTCGATGTTGTCTTTCTTGTAGATGTTTGCTAAGTAATAGATCAAAAGATGAGTGCGAGTGTTCGATCAGGGCACCCAAACCCCGAGAAACAGATGCTTTTATTGTTTTAAGTTGTTTGGATGCCCTGATCAAACACGAAGAACAAGTTTTTGAACTGACGTCCCAAACTCATTATAATTCATTTGTTCTTTAATCTCGTGAGACTTAAAATTCCTTCGCAATTATTTGTTTATTCATCAGTGTTTTGAACAGTGTCTTGATCCGTCTCTGATCAAGTATCAAGGTGCGTGCACGTGACTACAATGCAAGTCGCCATTGGTCATTGAACTCTGCGTTTACACGGTACCGGACAAATTTTTAACCGGTCAAAAAGTTGATCTGTACATACCATTTACACGGAACCGTCTCTATAATTGTATAAAATACGTTCTGTTTACACTAAACCGACTCCAAATTTCCAAAGCTAGGTTTACGAATTTCTGTTCAGATAGCTCAGTTCTATGTGGTCGGAACCCCCAAACGTACAACTTTTTGACCGGTTAAAAATTCGTCCGGTACCGTGTAAACGCAGCCTATATGTTGAGTTATACAAGCACGCGGGAAATTGCGTGAGTCAGAGAGAAGTGCTAGGAAGTTCTCCGCATTTCTCGAGAGCTCACGCAATTTCCCAAGTGCTTGTATAACTAAAATAACTAAGATATAATTTTTAATAAAAAGCTTGAATTCATAATTTTGCCTATTTTAAAAGTTTAGAGAAAAGGAATTGTCTTTTTTTTTAATTTTGTTTTTAGTCAAAATAAGACTAGAAAATAAGCAGGTGAGGTAAGCATAAGGCAAAAAATTTGGAACGCTTCACGAATTTGCGTGTCATCCTTGCGCTCAATCTGCCCCCATCTTCTCTATCATTTGGAACATTTGGAACATTTGGAACTTTTGGAACATGCGCATGCGTAATATGATCTCCCGTGTTCCAATAATTGAAACATTTGGAACAAACAATATGGCGGACGTATTTTGCTCGAGAGCGGATCACAAATCGGCCTAATGCATATTCTAAGTAAGCTTTTCTTTACATATTACTATGCCATCGAAGTGTGCGAGTTAGAAGCTGTCAGTGAGTCTATTCAGACGTTCATATAAAGCATTTTTGAGTTCAAAATCAATAGAAATACGAAGATAAGTATCCATCGAGTAAATACATTGTCTTATACCTGGTTTTACATAACGATACACAGCTTGTCATACAATCAATCGGACTTAAATGTCCTTGTTTTTAGTTTTCCTTTGCCAATAAACCAATACTACACCATTAATATTTTTGCTACTTGTGTTTTCTAATAAAAGAATTAATTTGCATACTATTGTTGTGCTTCTTCCTATTGTTTGTTTTAAATTTATTTTGTTTCCTCTTATTTATCCCTTCAAAATCACCTAAAGGCAGCAATATACTATATTTTAACTGAATTCAAGCCAATAAATATGTTTGGGCAAAAACATTAGAGTATTACTAGGTTTATTTAACTTAACTTGCTCCAATTCCTTATTTGGTCTTTTGTAAAAAGTTCTTTCAACTGGCTTTTCCATGGAATGTTATCAATATTTTACCTTATACGTTCATAGATAAAACTTCCCTTTGAAAAGCCCTTTTTTGGTCAAGATAATATCCAATAAACACATAGGTTAGTCCTTATTTAGTAATGTTTTCATGAATGGAATTTCCACACCCCTATAAAAGAGAGCACAAAAGCCATTATTTTTAGTTGCAACCAAGATTTGATGGGACCTTTAGTCTGGAAGAACAGCAAGTTGCACTCTTTCTACTAGGTATGTAGATATCTCAATCAACTTTCTAGTTCATAAGTGTGTATATAGTTTTGTATGTCAAAGTAAGGTTGCATTTATTGAACATGCAATGCTAATCTGTGTGACTGTGGTTGACGTTGAAAGCACACTATGCTTTTGGTATGCTATACAATGTTTCATAGTATGGGGATGAAGCAGCTATATATTATAACAATAATTTTATACCTATATACACTAGTAGTTGCGGTAAGGCATGGAGTAAAATCACTAAACCTGTGTTATTGATATTAGACTAATACACTTTAGTATAGACTATACCCTGATTCCAATATGTTTTTTTGTTTTTTTTTTGTCAATAAGTATTTGACTATCACACTCCAAAAAACAATTTCTATTTCATGGGTTTAGTGATTTCACTCTACTAGATGTATGACAGATTGATTTTACTTATTAGTAGACACTAATTCTATGGTTTTCTTTTGTTGTACTTAGATATTATTCACTAATTATACAACTTTGTTTTGTGGGTTAAAAAAATCACTCTAGGTGTGATATGTTACTGTATATATAGTCATGATAACTGTGGTAGGGTACGACATGTGTAATATGTAACAGGATAGGCATGGTAGGGTACTACATGTTTAATACGAAAGAGTGATTTTACTCGCCCAGTAAAACAAAGTTGTATAGTTAGTGACTAACAGTCAAAGTAAAACAAAAGAAAAGAATGGAATTTTTGTCTACTACTGTATATTTTGCTTACTATTTTTTCACAGGCCAATTAAAATTTTTGACATGCATAAAAATTTGGTAATTAGTGTTACATATATTTGTGATAAGTGTAGTAGGGTACTTTAATAGGTGTGGTAGGGTATGTTTTATGGTGGTGGTAGGGCACTAGATTTGGGTATATATGTAGGTGTGGTGGTGTACTAAACATGATATAGGTGTTGTATGACCCTAATATAGATTTTGGTAGGGAATTGGAGGTGTGTAAGGTATTATGGTGGTGTTTGGGGTGGTATACATATAGGTACAGTAGGTTACCACAATAGGGATGTGGTAGGGTATGATAGTTTTAGTGGTAAGCTAAGGTTCTATAATTGTGGTGTGATAGGGTACTGTAATTTTTCTTATATTTCTTATGTTATATTATATTTCTTTCTTATTTTCTTATCTCAGTTATGCTCCACAATGCCTAAACTTGGTCTCTCGAATAAGGAGTGGTATGAACGCCTACGTTCCTATGCCAAGGGAAACTTTGTCTTTGGAAGAGGTCAGAGACCTTCTAAAATTTCTAAATGGACAAAGGAAATAGAAAAGATAGAGAAATGTCCAAAAATGACAGCAAAAGCCGTACGTGACCCTTTGGGTCGAAAGTTGAACTGTACTTGTGGTTACCATAAGGAGCCAACAAAGGTAACTTATAAAAATAAACTATTTTTGATTAGTAGTTTTGTTTATTGCACTAATATTTCTCTATTTATGTCCACAGCATACCTCTGACCAGCCTACTCCACCCAGCGTGACACCAACAACAAGTAAAACTTCTACTTTAACAAAAGACGTAAGTATTACAATGATATTTTTTGCAGTGATTGCTGTTATACATTGATAATATATCTAATTGATGATATATCTAATTGTAAAACTTATCTGATTTCCAGAACGCTTCTACTGTGACTAGTACCCCGGCCAGTAACGTGAGTAGTGCCACGCCCAGTGACGTACCTAGTACAAGTAATTATTCATTTCTTGACATCCCACCAGGACCTTCTGTCGCTGTAAGTTTGACATTATTTTATATTTTGTTTTTGAAACTACAATTTAGTTAACCTTTTCTTTCCTTTTTTAGTTAGGTAATCAACCAGCTGAGAAGAGTAATACACCATCGTTTATCAAAAGCGCCACTGATTTCAGTCTGCGACTCCCCATCGGGTGGAAGGAGAACATGGCTCCAGGTGACCAAGCATGGGTTGGGCGAGCATTATTCATCGCTAAACACAAGCTCCAGACAACTCTTCTCAATTGGTGGTATCCACCACAAGTAAAGCATGAAACAAAGGTAGCATCTTCGAATCAGTACTTCCTGCGTCGCCTGTTTCTGTGGATGCCACGAAAGATGTGGGGTGTCGATTTTATTTGCCCGAACTGCAAGCAAAAGCGTTCATTGAGGTCTAAAGGCCTTTACAATCGTGTGCGACTGGTACTTGACACACAAGAGTACTACTACCTTGCTACGGAGTACATGGATTGCAATGCATGTAAAGGTATATATCGTCTTTTTCCTGACATCTATCCATTATTCCAAAATGGGTACGTGTAGGGTAATTAACTTCAAGTTTTGTTTTTATTTTGAAGGCACCTTCATTGCATGGGACAGCAGAATGTTAAACCAACTATCAGATGGCGTTCGTGCCCGTTTCCCAGTGATCCTGACGAGAAAATACGCGTGTGACAAAAGTATCGTGACACTCCTCCGAGCACGTACGTTTGGGAACAGCCCCTCTGCTCTACA